CCAGCCGACCTGCCGCTTCCCGGGGGCTCCTGGCCACACTGCGCACCCCGCGCCAGCCCCGCGCCCTCGGACTGCAGCCCCCGGGAGCTGTTCGCTGGTGGCCTCGGTTCTCCGCCCCGCGCCGCGCACCCGGCCTCCGACACCGAGAGCTTCAGCCTGAGCCCCAGTGCCGAGAGCGTGTCGGACCGGCTGGACCTCTACAGCAGCGGCGGCGGCTCCTCGTCGTCGGAAGAGCTAGAGGCTGACCCGACCCTGGTGTCGACCAGGGCTCCTGGGCCGCCTCCCCACCGCCCCAGCCGCCCAGCGCAGCCTCGACCTCCTTCCCCGAAGACCTCGCCCTCACTGCAGTCGAAAGCCCCCAAGGTTGTCGATGGCACAGGCGGGATGGCCGGCCAGGGTCCCAGAGAGGACAAGGTAGTGACGGCTGCAACTCCAGGCTGCCCTCCGTCGACCCCGGGGCGGATCCGGGAGACCGCGCAAAAGACGTCTTCGCCGCCTTCCCTCTATGTCCAGTTTCACGGAGAGACTACCCGGCGCCTCGAGGCGGACGAGAAACCATTGCAGATCCAAAATGACTACCTCTTCCAACTGGGATTCGGTGAGCTGTGGAGGGTGCAGGAGGAAGGCATGGACTCTGAGATTGGCTGCCTCATCAGATTCTACGCAGGTAAGAAGTTGCCCGCACGTTGATATGTGTTTCTAACCCTGGCAGGGACCGATAAATGATTTAAGGGACCTGGTGTGTCAGATACCCTTTTCTAGCTTGTTCACATGCCGTCTGTGTAAGTACTAAATCGAGCATTCTTTAAATCTGCAAGTTTTAGTCGGCTGTCCAGGGCTGAGGTTGGAAAACCAGGCGGATGAGGTGACAGAGTCGCCTGGAATACAGGAAACAGGTCAACACTTGAGAGAGGTAGCCGCCGTAACTGTAAAGGTGCTTTCCTTCAGGCCTGCTCGGGGTTGCAGGCAGTTTGGGATTTCAGGAAAATGCCCGATGCTATCATATGTACAGAGGACAGTGACCAACCAAAACTGCTCCAGGGTGCCTTCCCTATGTTCTTCTATGAGTCCACAGTTTCCCTTTCGCAGGCAGTAAGTGTAGTGTGGGCTGCTGGGAGCTGTGCTCTTGTCAACTGATGCCCTTGTTTGTTCCTCTGCCTGCCACTGTCTGAGTGCTTAGACACCTGGTAAGTTTGTGTTCTTTGTTTTGAGTGCTGCTTACCCTAGCGCTTTTTCATTGCTTTTGTTTAGTTTCCCCTCCAAGTTTGAATCCTTGCAGTAAAAAAAAAAAAAAAAGAGTTGGACTGTTTCTGTCTTAGAGCCTTTATTGTCAGAACTGTGGCAGGATTCGAAACAGACTGGAGTTCATAGCGTTTGGTGTTTCCCGCCTCTGATATGACCCGACTCTTCAGTACCTGTTCAAAGTGCTTGTCCTCTCTCTTTTGCCAAGAGGCTTGGCTGGAACTAAGTGATGGAGTTACATGGGTGCTGGGTGTTGTGTCTGAGCTTTGTAAGCCACTTGCACTCTCCCTCTGCTTTAGAGTTCTCGGTGGCCATAACTTTTGTTTAAAATAGTTAGCATAGGAGAATTAAAACTTTGGGTGTCATATTGCAAGTGCATATGAGAACTCTTGCTAACAACCCCAAGACTCCATAGCTGTTCTTCCACTACTGTTCTAGCTGGAGTTAGTTTGCATGAATTAGTCTTCAGCGCCCACATTGAGATATGCAAGACAGACAGCATGCCTGGAAGACGTGTTCCTCTAACTTTTGTTTAAGTTGTTCTGGACTTAAGTGAGTATTTTGATTAATATTTGCCTCATAAAGGGAACCAAATTGTAATACAGTAGCATTTTTCTTGGAGATAGTATCTTAATGGAAGATATGCCTTTAAATTTTTTTTTTTTTTTTTGGCCCAGAAAAGGGTAGGAGCAACAACTATGTCTTTTTCTTTCATGGCTCATGTAACTTGTGAAATATTTCTTTGCAAAGACATCAAATAGTACTAACACTTGGAAGGGAGAGTATTTTAGGAAGAATGATAATCTTTCTTAATCACATAGAGGGAAATAGCTATAAAACAAGGTATATGCAATGAAAAATATTTGCGCTTGCTCTTATGTATGGAGGAAGCTTTTCTCTCCACTTTGCTGATGACTGAATAGGTTGATTAGAATCAGATTTGTGGGAAAGGTTGGGTGTCACAGTTCTGAAGTTTAAATCTTGGATTCTCTTTGGCTGTTTTTACAGCAGTGTTTAAAACATTCTGAGTGGACTGTGAGCAGTTTGCTTTTATTCTTTCATATTTATCTCAGTTGAAAGTTGATCTGATTTTTTTTTGTTAAATCTTAAATTTCTGGTGTGGTTATTTTAATCTTTTTGTTTTTGTTTATGAAAAGTAGTAATTGTTACCTCCTGAACTCAGTACAGTATTTCTATGTATAGCATAAATAGATGCGGGCGTCAGTGTATATGCTCATAAAAGTAACTAATAAAGTGAGGATGCCCCACACAAATTATCCAGCCTGCTCTTGAACGTGAAGCCTGTGTCCATGTGTTCTAGAAGAAAGGTGTCTGGCTATTGCAAAGCTGTGTGACTGCTTATTTTGGCATTTAAGCAAAGTTGGACTTAATTTAAGCCTTAATCAAAGTACTGAGCATCTCTGGACTGGTATTTGTCTTAGAATAAAACTCAGCCTCACTAGATGCTGTTTCAATTTTCACCAGGATGTGTGAAAATTTCTAACAGCAAGGCATTGCTGAAAGGTGGCCCTGCATGTCTGAATTGTCAGGACATATGGTGAAGGCTTGCCCCAGGCTGGGGAGATTCCTAGAAATGGCTTCTGCTCCTGTGGAATATAGGACAGCCAAAAGGAGGCTTTTGTGTTTTGATTGTTAGTGCTTTTGTGTACGAAGAGAACAATTCATGTATGTTTTAAATGATTTCTTTTAAGAAGGACTGGAAAATTCTGTATTATTTGCTTCAATAATTTCACATATATACTGTTTTTTAATTTATTGTTGCATGTCTTTTCTAGTGGAGTTAAAGATAGCTAGGAAATTTGAGATGGCTTGACAATATTTTCCTATGTTTAAAGTGAGGACATTATCACTATCTGTGTTCTTCTCCGCCACCTTGTTTCTTTCTCTCTCTCTCTCTCTCTCTCTCTCTCTCTCTCTCTCTTTCTTTCTTTCTTTCACAATGCTGTTGTCCAACAGAGGCCTTCCATTCTCTTGAGGGGCATTGTTCAATTAAATTTCAGTTTTATAATCTTCCTCAGGTTGCTTAAGGGCTTTGAAAGCTATTTGTGGTTACTTTGAATGGTTAAGTATTTATTTGGGTAAGTTAAAATGAAAGTCTTTAAGTGAGGTCACTCTTGGATGAGAAGATACCAAAACTTATAATTGCAATTACCAAAAACTTTGTTTGAAAATCGTTACTGCTCCTATTGCAAAAGCATTCTTTGAGTTTTAAAATAGGAGGAAATTCAATTGGTGTTATCTAATGTCATGTTAAGTTTGTTAATTATATTAAGGTTTAATTTTCTTTTAAAAAATTACACAACTTAAGTCATACCTGAAAGAGTAATTTTGTTAGAAAAAAATTCAGGAATTCAGTTACCTGGCCTGAGTTATGAACACCTAAGCATGAATGAGATGCTTTGCTTTGCTCCCTGGGGCATGTGTCATAGGACAGGGGTAAACTCATCTTTTCCAGCACCTTTTGTTTTAGCTCTAGTAGTCTGTTCAATTCAAACAGTGAAAGATTGTCACCATGATGGAGCACACACCCTGCACCTAGTGAATCTTTAGATGTGTTCATGTGGGTTTCCTTGGGGCTGCTTGGTAGTTCGCCTCCCTCCCCTTCTCATATTCCTATCCTTTCTCTCTTTTGGGAATGCTCAGTGCTTCCGTGATTTCCTGCATGGAAACCTAGAAGGGTGGTTAGCACCAGCAGTGCATTGACAAGTAGGTTCTTATTACTATAATTACAGCAGTGCTGAGTAGTGTGGTTTAAATATGTGACTCCAGTGTGTGCCTCAGTAGTGCTTTTAAGTACAAAGGCTTTCAGTTTATTTTGTTTTCTGTGCTTAACACTTTGTTGTGTTTATATATTTATTTGCCATATGAAGTGTGTGATGTCTTTTAACTATGGTTTGATAAAACCATACATTGGGGTTTATTGTCTTCAGAAATATTAAAGGGCTTTCACATAAATGGTCTCCTTTGTCTTTTCAAGAACCATTAGGGAGGAGTCCTGGTGTCAGTCAGTCCTCCTTTCAGATGGAGATGGTACATTGACAGCTGATTCTTGCTGAGGGTTTCCAGTCCCTGGCAGAGCTGAGACAAGGGAGCGAAGTTTGTGATTCAACTCACTGTCTATGAATTTCATTTACACTTGAGTTTTCAGAAAATATGCTATGTTTATTGGTAATGAGGTGCTGTTATCGTTCAGTTCTGGGTGCTTCCTTGTAAAATGCAGATGACTGTTTTTATCACATGGCCTTTAAAAATGTAAAGAACCAAGATTGACAAGTAAGAGCAGTGCGGAAAGTATTAGTGTTCTAAATATTCTGGTTATAAATCATGATTCTTAAAGTTGATAAGGCTTATGTAGTGATTACATTTGTATCCAAGTATTTCTTGTTTGTTAAATCTTTATTGGGAAGTTATCTGAGCAGATAACCTCAGAGTGGGTTTTATGATCACTTCTTTTAAAGCAATGAAAGTCCTCAACATTAAAGAGCTTATCTGTTTGTTTGAAAGCTGAATTGCCAGTACTCTTTATAGTAAATAGTGTGTTATTGATATTTTCTTGTACCGTTTTGTGATTCTTAGGTTGTACAAGAGCATTTATTCTCTGAATTTCATTATAGTGTTTTGAAAATGGTGGACATTTTGTACTTATGATTGTAGCAAGCACATAGGATAGGTCAGTCTGTGGGAAGTCTCTTTCTCGAGGTGAGATTAATCAAGAGTGCAGACCTAGCGTGTGAGTCTCAGAGGTCAGTCCACACTGCCAGGACAAAACTAAATAAACTGTCAACTGCTGTAAATGGTTGTGTAATGCATGCTTATTATTGTCTTCTTACAAAATTTAGCTTTTGATTTATTAGGAAGGTAACAGTCCCTGACATCATATAGGAGCCGTGCCTTGTATAAATCTTGGAATTTTTTCTTATTGTTTGGATTGAATTTGTGTAGTTTGTTAAGCAGCTGGTGCAGTGTGCCCTGATTTTTTTTGACTTCCATCCTGTTTGGGTCCCCAGGGATGTGTTAAACACACATGCACACAGAGGCATTTCTCCCATGGCAGGAGATTTCAGATGTGCCACATACTATTAATATCTTCTCTTCCACGTGACTGGGCTCTGTGGACTTTTAGAGAACAGTTTTCCCTCCAAGTTTTCCTGGAATTAATAGCTCGCCTCTTTCAAAGGCATCTCTTACCTTGACTTTGAGATTTATTTAATGAGACACCTGTCAAAAGAGACATCTTACATTTAATGATTTTGTTATGTGTCACATTTCAGCTACCCAGGCTGCTGGACAGGAGGAGGCTTAATTATAAACGCTTAAAGTCCATTCAGTGGGAAAGCTGTTTCTTTAAAAGCACCCGGTGTTTGTGGAAATTGAAAAAGAGGTCTTATCAAAATGCCTCATAAC